AAAGGTATTTCTTTGACAGCTAATCAGACTATACAGACGAACGATCTATTAAATTTTCTGAATTCAGTGGGTTGGATTTAGTCTGTATTATTTTATCTAAAAAGTTTTTGCGAAGAATGTAGTATCAAAACGGCTAAAAATTGCTAATTGAGGTACATGAAAAATTATCTGATAGTCTGTCACTGCAACCAACCATTACTTAGGGTCAAAAAGTTTCGCGATAGCTCCTTGACCGCAACACCCACACTCTACACAAAATATTCCTGAAAAATGTTTTTAAATATAAAAAAATTTGGTAAAAATAGAAAAATTTGGTGATTTTATTATAATATATCTACTGGTTTATATAATACCGAATTATATAAAAATGTGTTATTGACTTATCAATTACGGCTGGTTGTAAAACTGAATCTAACTAATCATTTAGGTAGCTTAAAAACTTTAATACTGCTAATAGCTAGACACAATTTTTCTGAGTTTGTCTGATAGATAAAAATCTCGGTCTGAGAGATAAAAATAATTGAATAAGCAATAACTACCTTTAACTTCTGCAACAAGTCTACTAGTTCAAGATTAGCAAAACGCAATTATCTTAGAAATATATCAATTGTTTATTTTATTAGATATAATAAACTTAAAATTAAAAAAACAAAATGCAGTGATTTGTCTGAAATAAGTAGTACCAAAAATAATAATTCAGATAATTTGAATTATTGGAAAAAATATTTATTAAAAAACAAAAAAAAAAAACCAGAACTGTGGATCTTTAAATAAAATAAAATAACAAAATTTATTTACAATACTACAGAAATTTAGTTTAAAAATACATACATCCTTATTACAAAATGGGTTTACTTGTAAATATTTTCATGTGTCATTAAAATGCAAATTAAAAGAACGGTGAAAGTGTTAGATAATTATAATGAAATAATAATGAGAATTAATAACAAAAAAGCATCTAACTACATTAAAGAAATTAAAATAAAACCATCAGAAGGGAGTTAAAAATATGCTAGTTAACTGCACTAAAAATAGAAAAAATGAAATCAGAATAAAATAAAAAATGGTGGCTTTTATATGGTTGTGTAGCGTTTAGTAGAGCTTCAAATACTACTATTCACCAGCTAGAAATTGCATAAAGCCAGGCTCTGAGAAGACTTTTCAAAGTACCATGGTACATTAGGACGTCAAGGTTGATTCCATCAAAACATACATAAAGGATAGAGCCCTGAAATTATTTGCGAAAACTGACAGACTTACCAACACCATGTTTTCAAATCTCAGAATGGTTACAGGCTCCTCGGGGAGATATGCAGATTATTGCTGAGTCTATGTTAATGAAGTGATACACAATAATCTAGTCAAGGCGTAAAGAGGGGTTTTAAAAATACCACGAGTTAAGAAACAGTAAAAGTGCTTAAGTGCACTGGCTCAAATAGCTTCAACATAATAATAAAAATTAAATGACAAACCAAAATATATTAAAAAATGCTAACTAACTGCACTAAGAAATGTAATAAATAAAACTCTTTTTAAAAACTTTATATACTTGAAAATATATTCAATATTGAAAATTAAAAATACAAGATGCAATTAAACAATTGAGAAATATTCTAAGCCCATATATCGATCTTGTGCTTGTTAACGATAATCATATATTAAACGATATTTTACTACATAAGATAAATCTTTTAAGTAGGAACTTTAACAAACATTTCAAATTAATATTTTTATAATGTAATGTTTTAGATGCGGTGAAGTACGGTGCGGTACTCTCAATGTTTTCAGTACTTCTTCTATATCAGAATTTTATTGATTTATTAACGCTTAATAAATATTTATTCTCATGTTGGTATCTCTGTATTTGCTTTGTATTTAATTATCTACTATAAGCTAATTTAAATAATAATATCTATCTAGTACCGTTCGGTCAATTGTCTTATATATGCTACCAATGCAATTCAATGTTTCATATCATAAGGAAGTTCAGTAACATACCTCAATTACTTGTATAAGCCCATACACTGCAATATGTTTAAACAAATGCTTAAATTATAGAAAATAATTTGCCAACATATTTAAAATAATATTATTAATGAGATAATTATAAAGATTGAAATTGATTTTTTGTGTTGTTGTATTCAACCTACAGGAAAACCGAAACTAAGTTTATTTTGCGTTGTTTATTTTGTATCTAATAGGATATTTGTTTGGTTAGTTAATACACATTTAATTATAAATGTATATTTATGAATAAATGTATAAATCAATTATAATAAGATATTAAATGAGGTTTTTAGAGTATTAACGATGCTTAAAACCACAGTAAATAATATTTATAATTTTGTTCTGCTTATCTTCTTGTTTACTTTGTTTAAATTATGATAAATGCGGTATTATTAATAAGAGTATGAAGAGTAACAACAACATTGAGCTTAAACTCTTCTAAGCATATTGACCTATTATTTGGTATACGAATTCAGCACAAAGGAAAGTTACTTTATTAACATCATACCCTTTTTCTTGTGCTAACAATCTTAATCCTTTGTCATCAAAAATATAAAAAAGGATGATAATAAAGTTCATTTTAAGTGCTATGAATTGTTGAATTTATTACCATTTTCTTTCAAAAATAAATTAAATCTACGTCACAAAGTTGTACTAAGAGAATGACTTGCAAATTGTTTAAGTAAAATGCGATAAAAGAGTTGAAAAATGATATTAATTAAACAATAAACAATAAAGAATAAAGAAAACAGAAAATATAAAATATAAAATATAAAATATAAAATATAAATTGTGAGTAGTCTAAAATTTGCTGAAAGGACAAGCACACTTGCATATTCAAACTGTTGCCATAACCTTTTCGATAAAAATTAAAATGATTTATGGTCACAAAACATACATAAAGAAGCTCTAGAAAAGAGTATTTTTAACAAACTGAGAAAGAACTGAAATAAAGCAGAAAATTTTGAAAAATTTATGCTGCGAACTTGAACAAAACTTACAATAACAAAGTGCGCTATTTGGTGCAACAGAACAATAACCCCAGTAACAAAAGCATTTTGAAGGATAAAGGGTATTTTATAGTACAAGAATAAAGACTTTCAAAGACAAGACCACACAAAAATAATATGAATTTAAAAAATAATTTAAACAATTCTTGCTATTGTACAGTTTTTGAGAGAGTTCTCATTATTTGCTAGTGTTGAAAAGGCTTCAAATAACAAACCGCTTACGAATAAATTTGAAGGCAGAGGCAAGGTATTGTGTGTTGTGGTGCAATTTTGCAGTGCGGCAGTTTAACAAAGAAAAATCTAAGCTTTATGAACGCTTCAGTTTTAACGAGCGAACTTACACTGATGCGCTCAGTTGGATTGGTTGGATAAATTGTGGAGGAATCAGTGTTGATAGTGTCACTGGTTCTATCGCGAGAATCTTCACGACTGCGATCGGCACAAGAATATTGTCGTCGGTATTGGCGTCTACGCCGATAAGCACCCGTGCCTGTACCATCACTGCAAACTGATTGGCCCTTTGGCAGGTTGGGAGTGATGCGATAGTAGCAGGGATCGTAGCTGAATTGTTTACGTCGCCACTGCTCATATTGCCGATAGTGACTGAACAGCCTGCGACGTCTTAGTATCATTTGTTTTTTGGCTTCCATCAATTCTTGTTCCTCTCTGTTGTACTCTTGTGAGTTCTTCAGTATGCTACGCTGTTGAGCAAATCTCTTTTGTCTAGTCTTGTGATCGTTTTTATTTTTAAGCTGTAGCAGCGTTTGTTTCTGTTGATCATGCAGTATATGATCTTCATTGTGCATTATGTTATTTTCCTCAATGGCTTCGATATTGTTGCAATCATCATCTGCATTACACTGATGTGGTGGCGCGGTTATACTTCTGCTATCGTGATTTTCCGATGGCTGGGGACCATCGTTATGCACTGGTTGCTAGCTATCCACATCAGCCTTATGCAACAGCGCAAATTGGCAACCACAATCACGCTCCAATTCACGCCGTGGATATTGAAAGCAACGATCAAAAAGTCCACAACCTTCACAGCGAGGTAGGCACTAAATTCGCAAGAGGTATATTATGTACAATATATATATATTTATCAGTTATCTCTGTTCATTACAATAAAGTGTATTAAAACTGTATTAATATACTATTTATGTTAAAATGTTGAAAAAGTAAGCAACTACAACTACAAACAGAAAGAAGCGGTCTAACAATAAATCCCAGGACATTGAGCCAATACAATTCATGCTGCTGTGATGGACGCAGCTTATTACATTTCTGTCCAGGAAATTTTTGACAAGCTTATAAATTCTGCATAAGTGAAAAGTTAATTGAATATATTTTTGTAAGCCAGTAACAAATTACCAACTTTGGTGAATTTGAGAACTACAATTTACTTATCCATTACAAAATCAATTTAAATATTGTACAAAGCCTTCTCAGCTCAGCACATATTGGATGCAACAGGTGATTATGTATATAAGTATGAATGGTGCCAAATTGAGGTCGATTATTTATATTGTATATATTATATTGATTAACTTTTTTTTTTTAGTATCAAATATGTTTTAATTTTGGTTTTTTGTTTTGTTCTTAAATAATCAAGGTGTTCGTAACGATATAAAATGAACAAAAAAAAAAAAACTGAACTTTATTTATTCAATAATGTACCTTCACATATATATCAGGGTGTAAATTCTAAAAATAAAGTAGCAAAAATAATTATTTAGTACTAAATCGTTAACTATACTCATTCAAATTAATAATTTTTATTAATTGAATTTTTTGCATTAAGTTAATTTTTTATTTTCTTTTTTATTTTTATTTTTTTTTTTCAAATAAGTAAAATTAATGGTGAGGTTACTCATACGTCATGTGCAACGCAATTCGGTTTTTTTATATTAGCTTAACACTTAATATATTCGTTGATATACATATTTTAGAGAAGTGAAAATTCTTCATATTATTTGTAATTACCTGATGTGAATGATTTCCATTGCAAACGCCTCCACTGCAGCTACCTGCTCCTGGCACTTTGAGCTGTTCATGTTTGTAATCAGGCTGATATGGAAGTAGCATGCGAATTTTGCCCCAACGATTAAAGAAAAGTGCTATGGCTCCAGCCCACACCATTAACACTATCAGTACAATTCCGATTTCTACACCGCGAATCTAAAATTTAATATATATTTCAAATATTAAAATAAGTAGATAATTTTTACTTTCATAATATTTTAAAATAAATGACTTATTTCATGAAACGAAAATGTTCAAAACGCAATTTTAGGTTGCTAATGCTATATATATATATATATAGATTAGACGCGGTAGATTGGCTTCGTGTTATAGGAAAACGCGTTATACCCCTCGTATACCCCGTATACACTCGTAAGAAGGTACGCGAAGCTAATTATGAACTGTACAAATCCCCGCGTTATATGGGGGAATGTCCATATGGGGGTACTGAAATTGGGTAACGAAAACGCGTTATAAGGGTACCGCGTTGTCGGGGGTTGAAGTATATATGCTATAACACTTTTCTATGATCAGCAAAAAACTGTTTATAAAATTAAAACTTTGGAATTTATAATTTTCTCTAGTAGAAGATAGTTTCCTATTCATAGAACATTAAATTTTAGTTTTAAAATATTTATACACAATTTTTATAAAAACTTATATCACAATTAACATATTTCTGTCAATAAATATACTTTAACTTACCGTTGGTAGTTCCCTGTGTGTACCCTGTGCAAAATTATTTGTTGCTGTGGAAGTGACATCATCCGAAAATATACTACTATTGGTTGTTCTACCACCATAATTTGGCCCAAAATTAATATTGCTGCCTGCACCTAAGTTAGATGCCGCTGAGAAGTCTTGTTGTAGAGCAGGTTTTGGCATATCTTTAAAAAATTCCAAAGAAAAAAAATATATCAATATTTACTAATTCAAATTAATTAAGATTTCACATACTATATATATAGATTCACAAAAGATTTCGGCTATATGCTTACCAAGTGTTCTAAATATTATTTGCCTGCTGCGGTACTTTTTACCAAGCCAAATGGCCGTCACTGCTATTGAGTACTGTGTGCTGGGTGATAGGCGATCTAAGATGATTGCTTCGCTGTTACCTGCGACATCCTGGACAACCCTGTAACTTAAATTAATTCAATTACCACTCTTTGTCATGAACTACTGACACATTGAATGAGCATTTTTTGTAAGGCAACACAGCAATTCTAATGGACTTGATACACTTTTTTCTATATATATTTATAGTTGTTGTTGCTGCTACAGCAAGTGATGCGTTAAATGAATGAACAGATTATAAGCAACTTTACCAATTCAGCAATAAGACCACTTTATGGGAGTATATGTTACTTAAGTATTTATGTGTTATATTTGTCTGATTTTTTATACTTTATGAATGAACAAACATGCAATTTCCTAGATTGTGAAAAAGAATGTGTTTCGTCCTTATAGTGCTGTTAGCATGTGTGCGTGTTTAAGGAAGAATAAATACAATAAAAGGAGCTGGAAATAATCCGCAATGTAAACTACGTGATTTCCGCACGTGAAACTAAAATGTGACTTCAGTCGAAGTCACAATATCGTCCAAGATTTTTACTTTTGTAGTAAGTTTTACTGACAAGGTTGACGACGGTGGCTTGCATGCACTATGGATTGGAATGGCATTCGCTTTTATGTGTATCTGAATTATTAAATATTGAGAGCCATGCTTTGTTATGTTTGTGTAGTGATTGACAATAGTTCCCATCATAAAATGACATTTATGTCACAATAAATAAAAATAGAAAAGAAATAAAATAACGAATTAAAGTACATAACGTGCATAATAAAATAAATTAATAGAAAAATTTTCATTTCCGCTCTAGTTATAAAATTTGAAAAATATCTAAATATTTCATTCCATTAAAAATAGTAATAAAATAAAAATAATAAAAATAAAAAGTTTTAGGTCGTAACTTTCATGACCGAAACTTGCGTACTAAAGTTTAGACATAAATAAGTAACGATTGTAATATTCTAACAGATTTAAACGTATCTCAATATTAAGATACGTTTTCCGTTTTTAAAATAAACACATAAGTTATTAAAAGTGAAAGGAAGTTACGATGAGAAAATATATCAATTCTCTTAAACCATAATAAAAAAAGCAACAAATCAACAAATCTTGATTTAGCTTAATCCGCAAAATAAAATTGAAAATCTGAATTTATTATGATTAAACATTTTATTATACATGTACTCAATAATGTTTTTTTATATGTATTACTCAATATTATTCCCGAAATGTTAAAAATTTTTTAAATTTAATATCAATCATTTTATATAACGAAAAATAATTTTATAAAAAAAAAAAAAATTGTATCGAATCGAGATGGTCAGAAATGCTTTTTACAAATTTGTAAAATTTTAAGCTAACCATGAATTAAATATAAAACTATGGACATAAATATATATATAAATATATATATAAATATATATATAAATATATATATAAATATGTATATAAATATATATATGGATTTAAATACGACATTTACTTTTGCGACAATGATTAAAATAAAAGCTTTTGAATTGCAATGATACCATTACTTACTAAAGATACTCTGGACCAATCATGTATCAAATGAAAAAGTTCTATGATGCTGTCAAAACTACAAAACTACTCATAACTATCAAATGCTCCAAGACTTCTTATTTATAGCAAATTATTCATAGTGCTAAGTATAATCTACTACAAACCGATACTAAAAGGAAGTATAGCAGTATAGGACGTGCGGTGTAGGACGTAAACAGATGTCTTGGCTTAGATATAACCATGAATCAGCTGAACTAAGTACGATTGAGAAGCTGCTCATTCATATGGAGTGGCGTAGTCAAATTTTACTGAATATGGAGTGGCGTAGTCAAATTTGATTGCCAATATAAAATAGTTTCCTATTCTCTTTTTTTTATCTCAGTATCGCTAGTTTTGAATTTTTATGGATCTTAAATAAACTTTTATATATAAATAAAATAAACTTAAAAAAGAAAAAGAGGATGTCAATGAAGCATATAAATGAACTATATTTTGTTGATTTGGCAAATACAGTCGACAGAAGGCTGTAATCGTAATACTGAGCTACATATTATTTCATTAACCTGCTAAGCTATCATAGTAAACTTAGATAGCTACTTAGAAATGCAGATTATTTTAGAGAGATATGTATTTTACTATAATGTATTAATTTGTTAATTTTATTAATGAAACATAGATACAATTCTTATTGTTGATTATAAATCCTCTTGAAAACAAGTCCGCAATATGCTAACACAAATTTGAGCGTACTCATACTCTTGGCAGTAACAAGACTGACCTCTTTCCCACAGTTGCAATAAGAGTCAGTGAATGGAAATATCATCCTTCTAACATGCATTCCTAATCTCACCTTACAACTGGCTAAATAAGGAGGCATCTCAGTGGCACTTTCAATTCAATATTGAACACAGTTCAGAAAGCAGCTTGACTAATGTAAAAGGATAATGTCATTATGATTGTGTTCATATTTCTAAACAGCGAGAAAGATAGATACGAATATTTATAAAATTCAAAAAGAGACAAATAAACGACAATAAAAATTATTTATTATTTGTTATATATTTGTTATAGCAAATAATTCCAGATTTTCAATTGAAATTCTGAAATTCTGGTATTTAATAAAAACATCAGCTACGGTCTATCAATTCCACAAAGAAAAGTTAGTTAGAATTATAATTTGTATAGGATTCGCAATTTGATAATATAAATACTTGATTATTAGCATTAAGGTAAGCAATTATAAGCCCTTTATTCGCTAAGTTTGAATAAATCAAAATTGATACAGCAAATACCTAATCTAATGTGAGAAAAAGATGTCAAATGTGTAACTGTCTAAATGCCATTCAAAGTCATTCACCTCCATATTAAAATAATTGAATTTTAAATATTGAATAAATGATATTGGATGCGATATAAATGATGCGACGGTATTGTCGGTGATGTGGTGACTAGTTCCTAACTCTCTCAAAATCTATCTATCTATCTACCTAAATCCAGTCAGTTAGGAAAACCTAATGGTTTGACGCCATCAAGTCAATGCCCTTAAATATATTAAGAACACTGGACATTTGGTTCTATTTGTAAATAAAATTAAATCAAAAAAATGGAGACAGATTTGTTAATATAGCTTATAATACTGTATAAACTGCAAGAATAATAACAATAGTAAATAATATTCAAAGCATATGCGTTATTTTCTTTTAATATTTTTCAAGTTTAACCTCTGATAGTTCCTATATTACAAACTGATAAAGGAGAACTGCATCACTCTTAAAATCTTATGGAATCACAAATATTTTGACTGCATTCCAAATCGTTAAATTCAAGGGGTCTGCCGTTTGGTTGAACGGCACACTATATACATTTTTAAGAGAAGAGAAATATGATTTTATCCTCATTTAGGCAATTAATAAATGAAAAATCTGATAGAAAAGCCAACGTAAGACGCGAAAAAGGAGAAAATTTCAGAAAAAACACATTAATATGCTTAACATGGAATAAAAAACTCTCCAAACAAATCTTTAAAAGACAACTAGTTGCACTGTTCCTATACTGAAAGGAGTGATACTCCTAAGAAAGTAATGTGTATATGGACACTTTCCCAAAGGGTTAATATAAAAATTCCAAAACCTATCGAAGCTAAAAAGATAAGAAGAAAGAATAACGCGTATACAACCGCTATACCCATACTAGTAGTATTGTCCGTAGATAGCTATCAATGCCAATAGTGTAATAATGTATTCAATCATAATATTATCACTGATTTTTTTATTATCACTGAATATTATCATTGATTTTTTATTAATTTTCCCACACATTTGCACAGTTATGCATCGTTTTATGAATTCATTCTGAAATAAATGGTATTTAATGGATGCTGAAGAGTGCTTTGTCAACTTGTAAGTGATACAGTTAACTAGACGTTGTAAATCGAATGATGCATTTCTAAATACTACGCAAAGATGAATTACCATAAACTACTTTACAATGATATTGTTTTAAGAGCATTTACGTTAATATATTTCATATTTTGACCAAATGTCTTAACATCTGAATTAAATTTTTCTAAAAAGATATATATATATATACATATATAAAATATTTTTATTATGTATGCAAATTATATTTACGCTGAGGTTGAAATAAAAATTTGAGTTCGGCATAAAATGAATACTTAAACTTGTAATATTTTCTTCCAAGCAGCTTCTATAACGAGGAACTTTCTAATAACCTGATTTTCACGAAACCCTTAAGATTTCTTGCATAAATTTCGCTTCAATGATTACTTGCCCTCCACCCATCCATTAAAATGTGAAAATGAGTTTTTTTTCTCACGAAAATGTTTTAAGAAAAAATCGAATTTAAATTAAGGCGGTCTCTGGAGATGACTTCATCTACTAAAATGTTAATGCTTAGTTCCATGAAACTTAAGCATGCGAGAGAAAACTTGAATTTTATTTTATTTTTTCTTAATACACTATAGTTTATATGCATAGTTTGGTAGTGAATATAAGAATTTATTGGAGTACTGTTTCAGAAAAAAAAACTATTCAATTTTGTAAAACGCTGAAGTATTCACTGTAAATTATGTAAATGAAATGGTTGCATTTCATATAAATTATTGAAGCATAAAAATGTCACACTTAAGATACTTTTTGGAATTTATATGGAATAGCTGACGATGAACTCACTTTGTTTTATTTCTACTACTTTGTAAAAATATTTCACTAACATAAGTATATTTTACATAAATTTGCGCATATAAATAGAATAATACGTACATGTTTTATTTCCATTTGGGAATGGAAATAGTTTATGGTCAGTTTGGGGACATGTAAAGTATGTAAAGTGTAATAATGTTTTGGTATGGCGTGAGTATATTTTTCAAAACCGCATTCTATAATAGTAAGGCGATTGCTTATCTTTTAAATATTGACATCGTGAGGTACGCCCTACTGCGATTAGAGATTCAATAAAGTTATAACTCTGAATTCTAGTCTTTAGTTATATATCTTTACCTTTGAAATATTACATATTCTATTGGCCACTTT